CATCTTGTCAGATTTTAGTGTACTTTTATCATGCAATCTTTAGAAAACTTTAAATTAAGATTGATATTATATTTGATGTCTATCATAATGTAGATAAACAGAAACCTATTAAAATTTATAAATACATTATATTTGATGTCTATCATAATGAAGATTAACAGAAACTATTAAAATTTAGATTGACATTATATTTGATGTCTATCATAATGTTGATAAACAGAAACCTATTAAAATTAAGATTGACATTATATTTGATGTCTACCATATTGTAGATTAATAACAGAAACTATTAAAATTAAGATAGAAATTATATTTGATGTCTACCATAATGTAGATTAACAGAAACTATTAAAATTAAGATTGAAATTATATTTGATGTCTATCATAATGAAGATTAACAGAAACTATTAAAATTAAGAGTGAAATTATATTTGATGTCTACCATAATGTAGATTAACTGAAAACCATTAAATTTAGATTGACATTGTATTTAATGTCTATCATAATGCAGATTAACAGAAAACTATTAAAATTTAGAATTTGATGTCTATCATAATGTAGATTAACAAAAACCTATTAAAATTTAGAATTTGATGTCTATCATAATGTAGATTAACACTAACCTATTAAAATTTAGAATTTGATGTCTATCATAATGTAGATTAACACAAACCTATTAAAATTTAGAATTTGATGTCTATCGATTAACAGAAAACTATTTAAAACTCTATTTATATCACTTTTTGAAGTGACTGTGTACAGATTCGTAAGTGAGCCTCCTTTTATAGAATAGCATTCATAACAGTACCCTTTAGGACATTAGTAACCAAATTTAAATAATAGTACAATATCATGGAGTATAAATGTATTGCATGAAATATAGATTTTAGAATATAAACCAAATTTAAATAATAGTGCAATATCATGGAGTATAAATGTATTGCATTAAATGTAGATTTTAGAATATAAACCAAATATAAATAATAGTGCAATATCTAGGAGTATAAATGTATTGCATAAAATATAGATTAGAGAATATAAACCAAATATACATAATAGTGCAATATCATGGAGCATAAATGTATTGCATAAAATATAGATTAGAGCATATAAACTAAATGTAAATAATAGTGTAATATCATGGAGTATAAATGTATTGCATAAAATATAGATTTGAGAATATAAACCAAATATAAATAATAGTGCAATATCATGGAGTATAAATGTATTACATAAAATATAGATTTTAGAATATAAACCAAATATAAATAATAGTGCAATATTATTAAGTAAATGAATTGCATAAAATATAGATTTACGAATTAAACCAAATATAAATAATAGTGCAATATTATTAAGTAAATGTATTGCATAAAATATAGATTTACGAATATAAACCAAATATAAAGAGATCTAGGATTAGGCTCATTGATTTCTTTCATCTAGCTAGAAAGAGGAACGGGGGGGGGGTAAAAGAATATTTTAGCATTGTAAATATCTATGTTCTCATTCTGATGCATGTAAAAGAAAAAAAATACAAAGACTTAAATTGATTTTTGAATCAAATGCATGTTATAAAAATATTATTGGGAAAAGTTAAAACTGAAAAAAAAATTTAAATGTTTTTAATCTATATTTATTGCATAATGTGGCATTTATCAGAAATTTACAATTGACTTATTTAATTCATATCTATTATTTATAATTCATATTTTCCTTCAATCCTATTCATGGACCAGCTGATTCTAATATATTTTGCAAAGACAAGTAAATTGGATCTGCGACCTGCGTATTTTACGCAAAAAAAAATCCACATTTATTCCTCGCAGAATATAAACCGCCTAGTTCTCAACGTTGTCTGGTTTCTTCCATGAATCCTCTAAATTCTGAGCCTCCCACTAGTTCAGTAGTTCTCCGTCCTTCTAAACGTACCTCCTCTACGTCATGTGTTATATTAGCATTGAATTAAAATGCTAAAAAAATACAAAAACAAAAACATAAATAAAGGAGACTATGTATAGTTTTCCTTGGTATAATTTTACAAATGTATTGAATTTTTTTAAGGATAATGCGTTTTTTCATTTCTAAAAGCTTTCTGAAAAATTGTAATGTATTTTAATTCTTTATGAAGACATTGAGTTGTATCTCATCTAGCTGTGTAAGTGTTGGATCATAAATCTTTAAAGTTTGTTTATTTAACATGTAATTGTGAAAACTATGATGAAACCTAATCTACCAAAAATCGGAGTGCTTTGTAATATAAAAGATAGAAGGATCCATCATCAAATATTGAAAGCTTGAAAGCTTTGTCTGATCAAGTATGCATTAGATATCAATGATTTTGTTTCTTAAAACTGTTTATTGCCAGTTTGTTTAAACAAAACTAAAGTGAAATATTTGAGTTTTAAATCCTTTAAAATCAGTTTAAAAATTTTATACATTGAGAAATAACTTTTCGCATGGAATCTATTTTAAAATATATATTTATTCTTTTATTAAGATATAATTTGTTTTATTAATTTCATCATTATTAAAGATATCTATAATATTCATAATTTCAATCTTCTTCAAAGTTTTGATTTGGGATATAGTTTATTTATTATTGTCGAAAGTTGATGAATCCAGAAGGAATTAAAAGTTATAAACTCCAGAGTTATTTTTTCATAAGTTTTAAAAATTAATAAGCTCCAAACCGTGATTTACCCAAATGTACAAAGTTATATTTTTAAATGTGAATGTTTTTTAATTCAAGTTGAGAAAAGAAACCGTCTGCATACTTTTCTTTAGAATAGTTAAGGCTACATGTTTTTTTAACAAAAACTTAAATATTAAACCACTACACTTGCGTCCCCTGTCATCGGAAATTAGGAAATATAGAAAACAAAATCGAAATAAAACTTATTTTTACTGTTTAAAAATTACAATTTTATGTTTATCTATAACCTAAATATCTAGTTGTCTGTAGTAAAACGATCAAGGGCTTATACAGAAATAAATGTAGAGGGGGCCAAAAATTATTTCCCCCCCCCCCTAAGAGCTTCTACGGGGGGGGGGGGGGAATTTGAACCGTAAATTCATAACATTTGGCTTCTTGGATACTTTAAAGGTACTTTACAGTCCAATTACCAAGGACTACTTTATCTCTACATCAGACAAAACTAGCAGTAAAAAAACAGCAAAAAAATGTTTTTAATACTCATCACTCTTCAGTTTCAGATTAGAAAAGTGAGATAGCTCTGAAGTCTAAGTTAGGGGCACTGCCCCCTTGCCCCCCCCCCGTATACGCCCTTGAAAACGGTTCTGTGTGATTAGATTATTTTTATGATTAGAGACACTAACTTGACCTACATGGGAATATAATTATTGTGATAATAAGCATAATAATGTGAATAGTAATTAATGGCCTCGTTCTAATAATATACAAGAATATACATACAGGGTGTCCCACGAAACATGACAGTTGGTGAATAGTTTTGAATGTCTTCTTTCATATACTGTATTAGATATTGAAGACTTTTTGTGCAGTTTATTTAGTTAAAAAGTCTGTTATTAAAATATATTTTACTTTTAAATCAATTTTACTATAATACGACTGTCATATACTATTTTTCATTAGTCTCTTTACTATCAGACGACTTAAAAATCATGGAAGAAGACATTTCAGACAATTCACCAACTGTTATGCTTCATGGGGCACCCTGTAGTACATATTGTAAATGTATTCATGGGACACCCTGTAGTACATATTGTAAATGTATTCATGGGACACCCTGTAGTACATATTGTAAATGTATTCATATGTAAATATTGAATTAATCGTAAGTGCTCTTAATCTATAAATATTAGCTCAGGTGGCTCTTTAAAACATACGGTGAAACATTTAATTGTACTTGTTTGTTTGTTTGAATGTATGATCATAACTCAGGAACCCCTGGACCGATCTGCATCAAATTTTGATTGGGAAACTAGGTAAAACAATGGAAATTTTCTAATATAATATGAGTAGGTTGACTTTTTTAGGAAAAACGCTAGGCAGAGCTGGGTTTCCAAGCTACTTACCTAATTAAACTGGAATAATACTGACCCATGATTCCCAACCTATACATCTACAACGGGATATAATGTTACTTAACTGTCCCATGAGATAATAAAGTAAACAAACAAACAAACAGACTTTTTATGGAAATAATCAATATTTTATTTTTTTACAGTTTAATTTTCAGCTTGAACGTTTTTTGGATAGTACAGTCAAACCTGAAAACTATAGAATGTGAAGATGAAATTAATGCAATACTGAAGTGCATTTGATGTGGTTACAAAGCAAATAGCTTTACTAGAATGCTATTAAATTACTTATTAAGTGAAATGGGTCTATTTACAATGCACAATTGCTGTGCCTCATGTTTATTGGATTATTTAAAGTCGTAAATTAAGTCTAAAAGTCGACTTCCTATTCCACAGTTTTCTGGTTATCACTGTAATAAACAAGCAAACAGACAGATAGATAGACAAAACTTATTGAACATTGATAGATGTAAGAGATCAATTTGAAAATTATATCTCAGAGAATATATGAAATAAATCTGCAAGGATATGGAGAATATTATTTTCTTGATGCTGACGTCTTTCCTCTCTCTTGTTCTTTTTATATAATAAAACTTTATTCTTTCGGAAAACCAATATTGTAAATGGTTAAATACATTTTTTTTTTAATCTTGGAGCACATTTGTTCATTTGTTATTTCTCAAGTAAAAAAATATACTAACTCTGGTCCAACGTAAAAAATGAATTTATCCTAAATAAGCTTCTTCTGTTTCATTATTGTAAAGTATAAAGTCTAAAATTGTAAAAATGTTCTGCTGTAAAAATAAATATTTCTTTAATACCGTTTTATTGAAAAAGAGGAAACATAAAATCTTAAAAAACTTAATTAACCCAGTAATAAAAGGTTTATTGTTTCAATAGCAATAAAAAAAGGAAATCACGAAAACGTTTTTTTAATTTGGAAAATACAAATTATTCTTGGAATAAAATGCAAGAAATCTTGAAATTTTAAGAAAAATGTCAACTCATGGGAATCAACCAACCTACCTCTTCTCCTCTTTCTCCAATATTTCTGAGGATAATATTAGATCTTCTAATTCCAGGTATTAGGGTTGGATGCATCTTCAATAATTCTCAAATATTTTATTCAGTGTTTTTTTCTGATTTAAAACAAGATTATCTTTCTTAAAATTAATCATTTAAGGACTAATATGAAATAATATCTTGGTTGCACTTGCACACAAATTATTTATTTCTCAATTGTTGAAATAATTAAAACCCTCTTCATGCACATCTCTAAATCCAAGAACCCTATTCCACAAACTAATCTAATTCCAGGAATCCTATTCCACAAACTACTCTAATTCCAGGAATCCTATTCCACAAACTACTCTAATTCCAGGAATCCTATTCCACAAACTACTCTAATTCCAGGAACCCTATTCCACAAACTAATCTAATTCCAAGAACCCTATTCCACAAACTAATCTAATTCCAAGAACCCTATTCCACAAGCTACTCTAATTCCAGGAATCCCATTTATAAACTACTCTAATTCCAGGAACCCTATTCCACAAACTACTCTAATTCCAAGAACCCTATTCCACAAGCTACTCTAATTCCAGGAATCTTATTTCATAAACTACTCTAATTCCAGGAACCTTATTCCACAAACTACTTTAATTCCAGGAATCCTATTCCACAAACTAATCTAATTCCAAGAACCCTATTCCACAACTACTCTAATTCCAGGAACCCTATTCCATTAACTACTCTAATTCCAAAAACCCTGTTCTACTAACTAATCTAATTCCAGGAATCCTATTCCACAAACTACTCTAATTCCAGGAATCCTATTCCACAAGTTAATCTACTTCCAAAAACCCTATTCTACAAACAAATCTAATTCCAGGAATCCTATTCCACAAACAACTCTGAGAAAACAGAACTGGAGTCAAAACAAAGGTATAAAAAAAGAAAACTTTAAAACTCTAATACAAAAATAAATTTTCATCTTTGCTTGAAACTTTTAAGAGCTTTAATACAGAGGAAATGGTTATTCTCATTTAATCTTTTACAGATTCCAAACCCTTCTATATTTTGAAAATTGTGAAATTTTTGATATTTTAATATATTTTTTTAGCAATTTATTATTTTTGAATTTTTAATCTTATAAATTGGATACAGTTGATACAGCAAGTTATGATTTGATTCTATTTCTTGTTCTTGTTTCTTTCCTTCTTCCTTTTTCTCTTTTCAGCTTCTGTTGACTGTCCCTGATTCTGATAATTTTGAAAAAAAAATTTGTAAAACCAGAACTTTTTGGGACACTCTGTTCAATTGTAATTTCTATCCTAAGCTGGAATGCCTGACTTAACAACAAGCTGATCAGACTTGAAGGTTAAGTCAGGGTTAAATCAGCATTCAACACATATTCATAGCATATTTTCTTTATGTTCAAATGGTGTCTCCATTCGCCAATGGGATAAATTGATGGTGTAAAGCTTATCATTAGAGAGTTCCCTTCCATTTTCCTGTTCAAATTTCTTTTTTCTTCTTGTTTGTATGCGTCTGCAATATTACTTTAAATTCAATGTATACGCCTAGAGGTCATAAAAATGGCGCCCACAACATTTGTTCACCAAGAAATCAATTCCAAATGATTTTTGTGACAAATAGGTAGGGTTGAGGTGTAGGAGTTGGAATTTTGAAGTAGGTCAGGAAGGGAGGGTATCGAGAGACTTCCATAGCATAGAAAATCCCTACTTTCCTCCAATTTTTAAGTGTTTCCAACTCTGTGGAATTTAAGGTTTTTTTCCCATTGGAGTTGGACCTCATTACAAAATGGGGAGTTGTTGGCTTTGTGGCTCAGAATGATACATTTTCAAAAGTAGTCCGGTCTTCATAGTCGTCTGGGCGTTGCAGCTGGTAGAGTAAAAAACAGGCATCATAGTGCATGTTTATCAACCTCTCAGGATTCTTCTTTCTATGTTTCTGTATTTCTTGTTACTGGCGAGCTGTACTGTTTGTGTTTAAGGTTTGGGGTGCAGCCAGGTTTTAATTTGGCACAGCAATCCCCGGCTGAATAGAGGCTCCGGCTACTTAGACGGGAGCACTGAATTTCCTGTCCTAACCATGCCGATGCCAGCTCGCAATTAATATTTTAATATTTAAAGGGGATAGATGTTGTAATTTCAAGCAACAACCGATTCACAACAGTACCTTTTATCTTATCAATAATGTGGAGGTTGAAATGCAGTGGAAATGCGCAAATAATTTTTGTTGGAAAAAATTCACAATTCAAAATAATTATCAATTGAGTATAAATCTACATTCGTAGTCAGCCTTAGAATTAAAATCCATCATCGGCTTGTAGACGGGTGAATACTATACATATACATCCTAGCTCTATTTTGAATTAAGAAACTAGTAAGTTTAGGATCAAAATAATTAGTTTTTAATATTATAAACATGCATTTCCAATTTATGCTTGATCTGGCTTTTAAGGGCACTGTTGTGAATCGGACATGCCACTAAAAAAACAAAGGGTTACTAGAAACTACATCTATAGCACCTTTAAATTTTTGGAAAATCTCTGAATTGAATATTACAATATTTCAATTGTTTAAAAATAAATTTGTTTCAATTTTGCCCAGGACCTGTAGCCTTCAACCTTGAATCTTCTCATTCTACAACATTAAACCATCTACTCAAAACTACAAAAACCAACAACATTCAAAGAAACAACAGCTACCTTAGGAGTAGAACCAGCCACAGGGGAAGAAACAACAGCAACAACCAGATAGATACTGCTAGTAACTACAGTTTATCATCCAGTAACTACAATGTAACAGCCAGTAACTACAATGTAACAGATAGTAAATACAGTTTGACAGCCAGCCTCTACAGTTTAACAGATAACAGTACAGATGAACTGATGCATGTACTCAACTTAAATACAGATTCAATGAGGTGAATAAATGCTAACTATCTATAAATATAAAGTTGTAATCTCTGTTTGTTTGTTTGTTTGGTTGTTCGATTATAACTCAGGAACTCCTGGACCGATTTGTTTCAAATTTTGATTGGGGAACTCAAGAGAGCCACGGGAATGTTCTGAGATTGATTTTGATATTCTAAGTTAGTTTCCTGGTAAAAATCGACCAAGTGCGGGTAAACGGTGGTCATCTACCTGACATACAGGTACTCCATCTACCTGACATAAAGTTACTCCATCTACCTGACTTACAGGTACTCCATCTACCTGACATAAAGTTACTCCATCTACCTGACATACAGGTACTCCATATACCTGATATACAGGTACTCCATCTATCTGACATACAGGTACTCCATCTACCTGACATACAGGTACTCCATATATCTGACATACAGGTACTTTATAGACCTTACATACAGGTACTCCATCTACCTGACATAAAGGTACTCCATCCACCTGACATAAAGGTACTCCATATACTTGACATACAGTTACTTAATAGACCTGACATACAGGTACTCCATCTACCTGACAGAAAGGTACTTCATCTTCCTGACATACAGGTAGTTTATTTACACAATATACAGGTACTTCATCTACATGAAATACAGGTACTCAATCTACATGACATACATGTACTCCATCTACCTGACTTACATGCACTTCATCTACCTGACATACAGGTACTCCATCTACCTGACTTACATGCACTTCATATACATGAATTATAAGTACTCTAACATAAATTTTCCTTACATTGAGTATTTTATAATATTTCCACTTTGTTCTGTTCACACTTCAGGCTACAGTGCAGAGTGTAGACCAATTTAGTTTTTTTATATCTTACAATTTAAATTCTTGTATTTTGGTAAAGTCCTCTGAATTGATTTTATTTCCAACATAAAATATTGAATTTGAAATTTATTATGAAACTGGGGTTCTTATTTTATACATATTCTACAGGAAAGAATTAGATCAAGGAAATTAATACTTATAGGAAACAGTGTTGAATTACAAAACAGTGATGTTACATCACGTTCTTATAATTTTGTAATAATCCGTCATGGAAACTTTCATGTTGGACTATTCTTTAGTTTAAATAATTATATAAAGTTGCAAAAGAGATCAAAATAAACTTTATCGTAATTATATTTAAATTCTGAAAATGAAATAAAAAGCACAAAATGTAGATCACCAGAATATTAAAATAAAATATTCAAGAAAGAAGAATTTATTCCCTAAAGATTATATGTCATATGGTTTTTAGAGTTTAAAGAAATAAGAATAAGGAGTTGATATTTTCCAGGCAATCTTCAAATACAATTCTTGACACTGTAATCTGTCAAGATTACACAAAATAATATTGAAAATCTTGATATTTTTAGAGTAATCTACTAACGTCTAACACAATTCTATATTTATAATTTGTCAAGATAACAAAAATTAATATTGAAAATCTTGCAAATATAGAAAGAGAAAAAAATGAGTTATAAAAATTCATCTCAGCATTAAAATTTTGCAGTGTTCTGTCTCCTTTTATATCGATGGAAGGTAATTACAAACTAGAATAAGATATTTGAAGCAATTATAAATCATTATATCTTAAATTGAAGAAGTATAATCTTGATTTTCTTGTGTTGTAGAGCTTGGCACAAGACCATGGCTGATTCTGGTGATTGGAATGATGGGAAAGGAATGTGGAAGTAATATATTTTCATTTATAATTTATTTTCTATTTTAAACCATTTAAATTAGAAGGAATCTGAAATTCTTAAAATTTAACGATCTCAAGGTTAAATTGGTACTTATGCCTTAGGTTTAGTCTTTAAAAGGCATATTTTACGATTTGGCAAAGAAAGAAACTATTTAACAGTTGCCGGGAAGCATGAACAGGACACATTACAGTACAGTCGTCTCTGAAGTCTCATCCTTTGTGGATATCCCTGTAAAACTGAATGAAAAAATGCATTTTTTTAGAATATTTGTTGATTGTTTTTAAACCTTTCCTAATCTGCCAACACAATACAATTTATACATCCATGTAACCATGTTTATTAATTAATGTAAAAATCACGGAATAAAGTTGGGAAACTATCTGATTAAACTATCTGACAATGCTGATCAGTAAATGTATACATTATAACAATTTTTACCTTGTTCACCTTAATTCCAATGTCTTGGAAAGTTTAATGTTAAAGAATTACTCGTGCAAATATATTTGACAAGATTCAGACTTTGATATTACATTCTTGAAAGATTTATATTTGGAAGTAAGATTTGTATTTTTAGATTTATAATGGAAGTTGTGAGAAACAGGAAGAAACCAACATCTTCAAGATCTAGTAGAACAGATCAGGATATTGAGATACTGGCTAAGGAGGAGGGGGAGTTGAATTATCTCCAGGTGAAGGAGGAGAAGAAAGAGGCGGAGGAGAAAACAATACAATTTAATAAAGAAAAAGATAAAAATATGAAGGATACTAAAATGTTCAGAATGGAATATGAAACCAAACACAATCATTTACAAAATAAAACTACTCTAAACCCTGATGATACTCTTCTTGAGCTTCAACCCTATCAACCAACTGATCAATGGACCAGGAGAGAAAACTTCCATCAAAGACTGCAAAGACATGAAACCTCAATCCTGGTTCAGCATAGACATCAGAAAATCCAGGTGTGCAGATCAACTGAAGATTATGAATACAAGAGCAAAAGACAAGAAGAAGATGAGAAACTGATTCAAAGAATAGAAGAAGAAGAAAGATTGCTTAGACTCAGAGAAAATGAAGAAAATAATTTCCGACGAAGAGAGGATGAAGCAATGATTCATGAACTAATGGATGAAATCAATCAAGCAAATGAGAATGAAGATGGTGGTCAAGTGATGAATAGGAATGAGCTTGAACTGCTGATAAGGTTGAGGAGTGAAGAAGATATGAAGATGCTATTGAACCAGGAGAGTTGATATTTAGATCATAATCTTAGAGTTTTTAAAACCGATAATTAGAAAATTAATCAGAGGCTAAAACTTTTGATTGTGTTACATCTTTTACACGTCGGCTAAACTCCATTTTCCATATCAATGTACATTAACATTTAAAGTTTTTCTGAAAATTTACAAGATTTCCACCAATCTATAGTTCAGAACTGATTCAGATACTGATTAAGAAAAAATTCAGATACTAATTCAGACGTTTAATGAGTATTTAAATTCCGAAAAAGATTTTATGATAAATGTTGAGTTCAGGAGAGAATAGAAGAGTTAGATATTCTTCAACAGTTTAGAAGACGTGAAGAATTGGAGTCACGTTATACATGGCTAAACAGGGATACACAGATGGATAATTTATTCATTTCTGTTTTACACTTTTAATTTTTACTTTAGACCTCTTTTTATATATTTTTTTTTATTTGCTAGATTTTTTAATTGATTATATTTGTCATTGATTATCTGAGGCTCTTCCAATATTTTGATTTAGAATAAGTCTAATCTAAATTTTCAATGTTCTGTATCTCCAGGGAGGATATAAGATATAAACGTTCTATCTCTGAGTATGGAAGAGACTGTGATGAGTTTAGAGTAGGGATGGATGAGCAGGCATATATTGAACTCCAGGTATATTCATATTTAGAGGATATATTACAATCTAGTTTATAATATTGAACTCCAGGTATATACATATATAGAGGATATATTACAATCCAGTTTATGATATTGAACTCCAGGTATATACATATTTAGAGGATATATTACAATCCAGTTTATATTATTGAACTCCAGGTATATTCATATCTAGAGGATATATTACAGTCTAGTTTATGATATTGAACTCCAGGTATATACATATTTAGAGGATATATTACAATCCAGTTTATAATATTGAACTCCAGGTATATTCATATTTAGAGGATATATTACAATCTAGTTTATGATATTTAACTCCAGGTATATTCATATTTAGAGGATATATTACTGCAGTCTACTAAATACTGGAATCAGATTAAAATTCATGTCACATACTTGAAAACTTTTCAAAGTTTAATTGAATATAAAATATCCAATAAATCTCATTAAGTTACGAGTTGCTTTTCGAAATACTAGCGGCTTACATCACTATGCTTGGCTTTCCTTGCAAAACAAATTTAACATTTTTTTCAAAACCAATTACTGAGTCATAACAGTCACATTATTTTGAAATTTACATCATTACATGCAATACAGTTTCCATTGTAATTTTGTAAGATAACACAAAATCTAAAACTAAATTTATAATCCTGTATAATAATATCTCGTGATAAGTCTGTATTCATGGAAACAAAGCGCAGAGTTAGGAAAAATAAGCCTAGAAACTAAACTTTAAATCGTGAAACTTTTTACATAATTTATCTAAAACAGGAAAATTTAGGAAATAAACTAGTTATAGACAAGCACGCAAACTGGCTTAAATAACAAAAAGATTAAATGAAAGTAATTTTTTTATTTTTAGGATCTGGATTTATTGGATGACAATGGATATCAGATTATTTAATGAATAAACATGTGAGTGGATATATTATTCCTCTGTAAGAAATGGACCGAAATATGGATACAAAACTTTGATAGAATACAAGAATGGATATCATGCCTAGGTGCCTGTAATAAATTGAGTTAATTGTAGAAACAGAACTTCCAATAGAATATAAGATTGGATATCAGAGCTTAAATTGGAGATAAAAAAGCTGTAATAGATTACATATTTACCATTTCTATAATAAATTTAATGAAATATGAAATTGTTAATTAGAAAAGGTGAGTATTGAACAGTACAAAACTTATGAAGACAGAAAATTACACGCATTTATAGTTTAAGAGTCTAGGTACAAAATAATGATTTGTTGGCTGTCCAAATATTTGAGAAATAGTAAATAATTGTGTACACTGTACACTGTACATATCTTTTGATTTGTACACATTTTGTGTGAGAAAATGTATAGACAAATCAGTGTACAGAATTTTATAAAAATTGCTTGATTTTTGGTTTAAATAAACTGCTAGCAACTTGGATTTAAGAAACAAAATAACAAAAATATTTGAATTCATATTTTACATAATAAGCTCATTTTCTAAATATTAAAGGGAGTGTTCGCGAAAAATGAAAGGGGGTATAGGCTTAATGCGATAAAAAAGCGCTTTTGATTGCTACTAATCTTACTTCTATCTGTTGTGTCTATAAGGAGAAAATTGTTAAAAACGACTCACACCGAAGAACGCAGCGCCCATACAAATTCGGAAAGATGCAACATTCAACTCGGATCGTATACAAATCAATTTCATTCCCAACAAATCATTCAGATATTACAAACAATAGTCATCGGTTATTTTTCGACGCATTCATATATAGTTAATATTTCATAATATTTTTGATTTTGTTTTTTTTAGATTAATTTTCGCTGGCGCTGGATTTTCGAACATTCCTGGAAAATATGAAAATGTCGTCTTCATTATCAAAAATCCTCGAAACAGGAAAAAATGTAACTCTCAGATCATGAAAAATACAAAATATTATGAAATATCAACTATTTACGAATGCGTTGAAAAATAATCGATGACTATTGTTTGTAATATCTGAATGATTTGTTGGGAATTAAATAGATTTTTTACGATTCGAGTTGAATGTTGCATCTTTCCGAATTTGTATAAACACTACGTTCTTCGGTGTGAGTCGTTTTTAACAATTTTTTCCTAATAGACGCAACAGATAGAAGTAAGATTAGTAGCGATCAAAAGCGCTCTTTTATCGCATTGAGCCTATACCCCCTTTCATTTTTCGCGAACACTCCCTTTAAAGGAATTCAGTCTTTTACACAAAACTCAAATAGCCTAATATCTTCGCAACCTGATGGTGTAAACCTTTGATATTTTAAACTTAGATTATTTGAACTGAGAATAATTATAGTTTGAAATATCTTAGCTAAGACATTGGGTTGCACAGCTGTAGGTATTATAACATCTGAGTTTGTGGCAAAGACTGAATTCCTTTCCTAAATAGACGCTGACTATACGTGAAATCCAAACTGTCTGTACTCTTAACATCCACTTTTTTTATGCCCTGGATTTGAAAACTAAAAATCACTCGTTTTTAACTTCTGTCTTAAAGAAGTATTTAGAAAAATCCTGAAATATTTTCACGCAAGAACCTGTATATTTCAAGGTGTTCCCCTCATTACTAATGTAAATTATTTGTGATAAATGTTCCATAAAAAATTAGAAATGTTTGATATAATAAAGTTAATTTTTATAAATATCATGTTGTTATATATTTCTCATTAACGCATAGTTTTTGTGAATAAATTTGTAAGGATTTCTTGTTTCTTGTAAATTATGTAAATCCTTTTTATCTTCAGTGAGTGGAATAGGAAGACGACATTAAAGCAATGATTAAGTCTATTTTATTTTGTTACAAAGCAAATAGTTCCTTTTAAAATCCCTTTTTAACTAAAATGGGTCAGTGTGCACGGTACAATTGCTGTTTATCATTGGCTTTGGACTATTTGAAGTCAGAACTTAAGTCTGAAAGTCGTCTTCCTATTCCAGAGATTTATGGTTCTCATAGGAAGTTCATAATTTGTTGAAATTTTGAAATTTGCCATAAAAAAATACAATTTATTTCTTTTGTTATTTTTTAAATTGTGCAAAGTTAAAATGGTTACACGGAAAACTATAAGATAAAGTACTTCGTATCTTACCAAACATCCCCTATTTATAGAATAATGGAAGAATATTGAGAATATCTATTTTTAGAATAAGTCTGTAGAAAGCAATTTACAAGGTTATCCACAAAGGATGAGCATTCAGAGACGACTCTACGCAGGCCCGTAACCAGGGCCCACTCTTGTATGGCGAGTCCATTAGTGCCTGATCCAATCAGGATTCAGTCATGTGTTTGGTGTATATTCTAAACCAATTAAAATTGTATTGCGGAAACATCTATCTTTCTATCTATCTCATCATCCAATTAGAATCGGCGCTATACACTAAATGGAAAATTTACTTCTACTAAAACTTCAGTGGAGGCCCCCACCCCTTTTAGATAAGTTGTTTGGAATAACCCTTTCTTGAAAAAAATTCGTTCGACCACAAATTACGTCACAACTCCCCATTTTTTTTCCCATCATACCTTTTTTGTTCGGCATTGTTTGCAATCTTTTTTTAAAAACTTAGAATTATTATTTTAGAATTTTGAGCCACGTCATGTTGTTTATAATGTTTATGATGTTTATAATAATAAAACAATTCATGCGAATCTTTGTTTCACAAACACTCAAGAAAATTAAAAACCAATTGTTATGTTCTCTACAAAAAAAGTTGTAAATTTTTAGTTGTAGATCTTAAAAGTCCCAGCGCGCTATCGTATTAAATTAGGTGCAGTTTCGGAGAAACATCATTTCCGGACGAAATATAGGTGTGGTCTGGACGAAAAATAGGTGTGGTCCGGACGAAATATAGGTGTGGTCCGGACGAAAAATAGGTCTGGTCCGGACGAAATATAAGTGAGGTCCTGAGGAAAAATAGGTGTGGTACACACATTTTCCTTTTTTTTTGCTAAATTGGGCTTATATACAGTGAAACCCTTAATAACGAATACATCGAAAGAATTCATCAAATGTAGTATTCTTCACTTTCTGATAATGGAATGTTGCAGATATTTAGTTCTTTAATTAAATGATTATATGGAACTCTTTAAAACTGTTCCCGCATATTCGTGGCTATTTATTTATTTTCGCAAATACTGAAATTTACGTAATATAGTATAAAACTTTTTTGAAAAATTGTCAAGACGACATTTGATAAATTCTTCCGATGTATTCGTTATTAAGGGTTTCACTGTATCTTTCAATTTTTTAAACAAAATGAATTTAAGATTCAATTAAACCATATTGAATAACATAGTGTTGCCTAAATTTGAAAAAGTGTTAAGACATAAAATAATACATTTGAAAACACAGAAGCATCGCTCAGACGAAAAAAGGTGTGGCCGGAAGAAATAACGGTGAGTTGTGACGTCGTTTGATATGCGGACGAAAAAATAGTGTGGTGTGCCTTCCCCAGCTCGTATTGTGTTTATGCTATGTCTGGACAATTCTGTACTTAAGATGTTTCCTCAAACCAACCAAATTAAACCTTCTTTGAAAAACATTTTTCCTGAGGCAAGATTTTCTGTTCAAACTGGTTTGCTGTTCTTTCGCATATGAAGATATATATACATGAAATGTAGTAAATATGTTCACGTGTGTATCATAAAATTCAATTATTTAAATTTTGCATAAACTTATTGCCTCAGTTTCAATATTTTGTCCAGACAGTTCACAATCAGTGAACGTGAGTAGTAATATCAAAATTTTTAACATTTTCTGTTATCCAACATTGTAATATTTTAACTAAAAACTAAATTATAAAAATTCAAGCTAAAATTATACAAAATTCTGAAAATTTTTTATGCAGGGGGGCTCTGCCCTCCAACCGCCCCCGCCACGTTTACTACGTTTCACTCGGTACTCCTGGGTCCATATTACAACATCCTTTTTTGCACTCCCTTTAGAAAATCCTGGTTACGGGCCTGACTGTACGAAATGTATACTGTCCGTTTCCTTATATTCATGGTTCCCTACAACTGTTAACAATTGTTTCATTCTCAGTCAAATCAATGAATAAGCCATTATATGACTGTATTTAAGGTAGAGGAATTAAATCAACCTTGAAATCATTATATTTAAAGAGCTTTAGGTCGTCTTTACAGTCTCATGATTTCTGGGTAACCCTGTATCTTAGTTAGATGGGAAAATGATGTATTGAACATAAGAAAAAAAAGACAATAATGATAACTGAATCTTAATATGTCTGGTGTCGACTCTGTACTAATCTCTTAAAACTCAAAATAGTTCACTATATATAATACAAGTTTAATTGATCTCAGGATTTTTTACCTAATGCGTCATAAGAAAAAAAGTTTCATATTTTCCCCCTTTTCTTCTATTACACATTTGGAGAATAAGCTAGGTTTGATTTTGTCAAGGTACACATTTTATATAGGCTTTGCTCCTTTTCTTACTATCACACATGGTTGGAGAATAAGTTAGGTTTTGATTAGGTCAGGTACACTAAAATATATCTAATGTATTCTTTGGAAAATTCAAAATTTTTTATTTTATTTTACAAGAAGATTGAGGGGAATATATTCTGGCCGGAGTGTTGTGTTTTTGTCAAGCAATAGACTAATGATGGGCACTGATGAACATGACATTTGCACAGGCTGATCCAATTAAAAGTGCAGAAAGGATAGCACTAGTAAGTAAGGAAAAGTTAAGTAGGAGAATTTGAGAGAGAATTTTTTACGGAGCCAGTGAACACAGAGAACAAAAAAGATAGGAAAGGTTAGTTGGAAGAGAAAAGACAAAAGAAAAAAAATCAATTCTTGAAAGGAAAATTTTTTTTCCTTATTTCTTTCTTTTTACTTTTCATGACTGTCTGAGAAAAGGACAAAAGAACATAACTCAATTATGTTTGAAAATCCAGCTTTCTACAAGTCATTGACAAATCAACGCTTCATGCGATTATTAAAAATCATATTATTAACCAAACCAAAGAGTTAAGCCTAAGGAAAAAAAGGAAGCAAGATCAGCCCGCGTAAAATAAATGTTCACTATGGTTTACAGGGTTACCCATAGTCAAGTTTTTAAGACAATGGCGCAACACAAAACGTTGGGCCGGTGTATGACTTTTAACTAATCTTGAGCAGAACAAAATAATAGAAAGACTTTGATAACAAACTGGAAATAGATTTATTGATATTTCGTTTTGTATGCGTGAGCTTGTACCCACAGCCCTTATCCAAAAATAAATTATTAAAGTTAAAAATATATTATGTATTCTTTTCTCCTCTATCCTTCTATAACGCATGATGGGAGAATAGTGTATGTATGTAAAGTATAGCTCAGGGTACACTAATATATATCTAATGTATTCTTTCCTCCTTTTTCCCTCTATTACACATA